AAAAGGCTATAGCCCCCCCAAAAAAAATCATCACGCTACGCCTATGTAAATCAGCAGTTTCTAAATAAATGAGGTCGACATTGCCTAAAAATGTTTTTATTTAATTTTTAGAGTAGTTTGAAATATTGTAAAATTATAAAAATAATAGTTTAATTATTATTTAATAAACTTAAATGCCCAGAATGTATTTTTGAAATTACTTTAAAAAAAAAATAAAATTTCAAAAAACGTTTCGAGTAGGTATCTAACAATATTTTTTTTATAACTTATAATTGAAAATATATTTTACCTGAATTTATAACCCATTGTTGTTGAAGTTCTGGGTTTTTTGGAAATCGGTAGAGCCTTAAGACCACTTACGGTTCGTCCACTTTTCCCACAGTTGAAATATAAACACTTGTGTCCACTTTTTCGAGACATTTATATAATTATTATAGACGCACACCACCAAAACGTTTAAATTAATTAAATAAAAAATGTTAAAATATTTTCTACTGTGCAGAAACAAGATAGTAATATTCACGAACCACAATAAAGTGTCACTACAGACACGTATTGATCAGTATTACAAAATAAAACGTTTTAAATGGTTGTTATGTCAAAAATAAATAGTATATTTGACAATATAATTTTAGGATTATTTATATTCTGTGATAACGAGTTAATACCCATTTATAATACGTATACAGCACATAATAATCATAAATAGTAATATCATCGTTTTAATAGACTAAATATGAATTAACCAATGGTAAATATTAAAAACCTATTTTAAGATATATCATGAATAATACCTTGTTCATATTTTATACAGTATATTTATAAATTGTACACTTATATCATGCTTAATTCACTCATTGCGTTAAATTTATATATTTTAAATTTTGAATTGTGTCGTTAATTCAACATATAGTCTTTTTCGAAAATTGTCTAGAACCTAATTTTGTTATAGGTAACAGCTAAAATGATCATATATTAATTAAAAATGCTCAGCCATGTTTAATTTATTTCAATATGAATAAATTATTAAGATATACTTAGTCAATTGTCGTTTTGTAAAGATAAATAAAAGAAAAAAAAATCTGTTGTACTTTGCAGAATTCGAAATCGGAACCCCTGTATTCAAAGCCGTATAATATAACCATGAACCACAAAAATAGCGCATTCTGACGTCTAACTCCCATACTACTAGATTACTGGCTCCCCCGGTCGGTTATTAGGAGCTTCCATACATTATCATTGTATGGGCTATCTATGTATATTTAATCAATGTCATAATCATAAAAATTATCGATTTGATGATTTTAACAAATTCAAAGTAATATATTAATAGTAGTAATATTTATTTTACATAAATGTGTTACTTTACAAAACAAAGTTAATATAATTAAATTAAAGTTTAACCAAAATACTAAAAATAAAAATAATTCTAGTTAACTATTAACTATCATATGAGCATTTTTTGATAAAAATATTAGTTGTTCAGTATGTTCCGCTGACAATGGTGTACGTTTATCAGTAATTACGTTACCTCCATAACAGAACAGTCTTTCACAAGGTACGTTAGTGCCTTGTATACATAAATATTTTCTTGATAATAAAGATAAATTTGGAAACTCTGATTTATATATTTTCCACAAAGCAAGATGGTCTGAATCTAGGTCTGCTTTGGGAATTTGAATATATTTTTCGATTTCCGCCTCAAAAATATTTTGGTCATTTAATGTTGATTCAGAAGGTACATTGTTGCTTAAAAATAAAGCTATGCCTATAAAATAAGCAAATGTTTCATTATAGTTATGTGTCAATTATAATTTTTTTTAAATATTATAAACTTACCAGAATAACTTTTTTTTTGATGAAAGATATTTATTTTTATTTATTTCTCCAGATTTTTTCAACTCTTCTATCCCTTAAGTGGGCACAGGAAAAAAGTAAATTTATTTGTACCAAATTTTCAGAAATTGTTCTTTTTTGGTCTAGGAAGATGAGAAAAATACTAAAAAAAATTTTTTTTTACTCTAAGTATTTAAAAATTAGTGGGAAAAAATTTCCAATTTGTATTTTATTGAAATATTTACTAGTAAAAGTAATAAATAATACCATTTATTTTTTATACTGAATAACATATTTAATATACAAATAAAAAAACATAATAAATGACATACTATATAAGTAATAAATGATTAGGTACAGCCTTTTGTTTTAAACCAGTATTTATAAATAACATACGTATAATAATATTAAATAGTAAATACAAAATAATATAAAAATGAATAAAAAAAACTACCTTTTTTTTAAATATAATAATAAAATACATAGTTAATAACATATGATATAAGTAATAAATGAATACAGCCTTTTGTTCCAAATAAAAATAAATAAAAATATGAAAGTTAATAATAAAAACTACATTTTAGGACCCTTTTTTTATATAATAATAAAAACATAATTGGTAACTAAATGTTATTTGGTAATTTATGGTATGGTGCAAAACAATTCTTACACAAACATATTTTACATGTTTCACACAAAATGTTGGACCTTTTTCCTTTATTTTTACTACATAATTTACAGCGTCTATATTTATCTATTTTTACTGCTAAATGTTGTCCAGGAATTATATAGTTAAACGGACTTGAAAGAGCACGTTTAGGATTTTTAATGCCAGGAGAAATTGTAGGTCTACAACGGGAAGAAAAATTTGCAATAAGTTGATCAGTGAGAGTTGATCAAAATTCTAGAGTAGAAATAGGTTTTTTTCTATAATTCGCACAACTTGACTTGTATAACAAATATGAATTTACAATTGATGTGTCTAACATACAATAAAATAATTTTAGCCACCACCGCCTAGATTTTTGGGCAACACTGTAAGTAGCCATGTATTGGTCAAACCGGTCTACTCCCCCCATAAATTTATTGTAATCTGATATGCTTTTGGGACATACTATGGGTATCCTCTCGCCCTTACTATTTTTTCTATGTACTATCTCAGTAGATAAAGCATCATGCATGTTGCTTATTACTGTAACTGGTTTTTTACCTCGATCTTTCCATCGACAAACACTTACATCTTCACTTTGAGCAAATTCTATTTCTCCTGGTTTGTATAGCGAATCTTTTTTCATCAAATGCTTAGGATAAAATTTTTTATTGATGCAAAACGTACCACAACCAAACAAATCAATATCTAAAAGCATTTTCATAAGGGGAATACTAGTAAAAAAATTATCAAAATATAAACAATAGAATTTGTGTGTATAATATTTACTAAGTTCTAAAACTACATTTTCACCCAGTCCTAATTCAGGTTTGTTAGATTTTTTTTACCAGTATATACATCAAAACTAAGTAAGTAACCTGTTGCAGAGTCGGTCATAGCCCACACTTTGAATCCCCTCTTTATTGGTTTCAAGGGCATGTATTGCTTCATTGTCGACCTGCCAGTATATGCAACCATACTCTCATCTACTGATAAATTTTGAGAAGGATTGTATAAAATTTTATAAATATTATTAAGGTGATCAATTAATGGTCTAATTTTAAATAATTTGTCAATACTTTCAGATGAACGAGGTAGCATCTTTTGATTGTCATTTAAATGAATGTAACGTAACAGTTTTAAAAATCTTTTTAATGGCATGACATTTGCTATTCTAGGACAGAAAAAATTATGATTTGTAGACCAATACAATCGAATAGTAGGTACATCATGATAACCCATAAATATAAGTATTCCAATAAAAGCACGAATTTCTTCAGGAGTGGTGTTTAAAACTGCATGTTTTTGAGTGACTAACAAATTAGATTCTTCAACTATTATGTCTATTACGGAGGAAAATATAGATTCCCAAATATCAAGGACTGATTTTTTCAATAAAAATGGATCAGTAGGACCTTGTGTTTCTGACCTTGTGTTTCTTGCATAACTATTAAACTTTTCAGGTACTTTACCAGTTTTACAAAAATTAAAGTTAAGTTCTTCATCTTCTTCAATTTCGTTGTCAGTAGATTCATAATCATTAACCTGTGATGACAACCTCACTGGTAAAAACGTTTCGTCAGTAGCTATATTGTCAATCACATCAAATTCATCCCAATCTGTATAATCAGTTGTGCTGTCTATAGGTGAATTTATGAGTGGTGATTGAATTAAATCTGAAACTAAAAATTAATAATTGTATAATATATTTGAAACAATTAAGAAAATTAATTTACCTGCAGAGGTAGAAGCATTTTTAGAATCAAGTTTTGTATTTTCAAAATGTAGTGACCTTTTTTGAGATCTTAATGATCTTGTCTGACCTATAAGTAAAGTTTACTGTATATATTTTAAAATTATATAAAAACTATGAACATATAATATATATAATGAAATGTATTAAAAAAAATAATATTTATACATGAAAACACAATGAAATATGATACACAATATCATAAATATTATTTGTATAAGTACAGTAGATAGTTTATGATTATATTACAATATAGTATTATAGTATTAATCATTTGTATTATTTATGAGTACCTAACCAATAAAATAATTTTGTTTTTTTTTTATTGTAAAAAAATTTAACTCAAATGTTTTGAGTAAAAATAAATATTACACAAATGTATGTTTTTTACCTGTAACTGTATTCGAATTAATTGATATTGTTTCTCTATTTGAATTAATTGATAGTGTTTCTGTATCTGAATTTGGTTGAAAAGCTTCTATGCCTTCTAAGGATAAATCTAAAAAAAATACAATTATATTAGATTTAAAATTTAAAAAATGTCATAGGTAGTATTACTAATTCATTGAAAATTACTAATTAATTCATACTTGAGGACCAATGTAATGCAGGAATTGTGTCCTCTGCATCAGAGTCTCCTCCTATATCCGAGTCAAAAGCCATGGCATCGGTGATTTCTAACACGAACAAAATGTCCTCCTCGTTCAGCACATAGAACACTATAGAAGCGTCACTCTCGGGCGGCCAATGTTAATGTGTTTAGAATTCTTAACGGCCTTGAAATGGTTCGTAACTTCTTGTCTTACCGCCAAGCTTACTTACAACATCATTCTTGTTGTTACCTAATCATACAATAATAAATATGTGATTGTGATAAGAGAATAATAATTATATTTTATTTTTATGTATAACATCAATTTTTATTTTATAATACGAATATTGAATTTATAATGGCTAATATATTTTAAGATATTTATTCAATAAATTTGTATAGTCTGTACCAAATAAGAGCACCGCGTTGGCGCATACAAATGAATGTGAGCGACGTCGGACCCCTGGACAGGTCTATTAGCTCTGTGATTGATGCATCATTCGTATGATCGGCGTCGTCGACGATGTACCATAAATCGGCGACATATATTACATACAAGGTGTAATGCAGCACAATGCGCTACCGCGTATTACAATAGCTACCGCATTATTACATAGTAAAATAATAAGACACTTTTTGTTTTAATTATTTTTAAAAATATTGAACCTAAATATTTTACTACAAATACTACTGCAATTTTTATTTGTGTACGTTTTATTATTTATTTTTCATATGCACCTTGATAATATATAATATTTTATTTTTCATATCAATAGGATAGGGTAGATTACAAAGAATAACATTAATGGACACATTTTGTTTGTGTTCTTACTTTTATCAAGGAGAATATACAGTCAGTTTTACATTGTCAGGATTATTTACAAAATAAAAATTTAAAAATAAAAATAAAAACATAAAATACTCTTTAATATTACTCATCATCGCTAAATTCAGACTCCGAAGACATGTGTAACCGTCAGCAATACGTAACC